TTTTTTTTTTATATATATTATAATAAGGGCCTTTTAATAATGCATTAATCAGAAACATTTTGGTGTTGTTAATCACTCAATATTAATGTTTATGTAAGCACTTAAAATTAACCCTTAACTTTTTGAATTATGTACTTGGAATTTTTTCTTTTCTTCACGTTCGCAATGGTATGGCTCTGAAATATCATGGTGAATACCTTATTTACGTTCTTTTTCGTCAAGTTTCTGCGCACATGTGTTTGAAGTTTCTACTGTCAAAGCAGTTGGGTTGAAGACATTAGGAAAATTCCACAAGCTTTTATCGGGGAAAGAATTGGCTAGATTCTTAAAGAAAATTTGAGTTTAAATACATAAATAACGTGAAAATAACAATGAGCGAAGACTACTTAAGTCAACCACTATCGCTGGGGTCGTCATCAACAGGTAAGCGCGTTCAGAAGCTTGGAAAGATTTGTCACGCCATACAGGGTGTACATTACGCAATTGCCGTGTCTAGTGGAAAATAACAATGCACTTTAATAATAGATTATGAATTAACATATGTATTTTTTCATCATACAAAACAACAGATGAAGCACGCACGAATCGATCGAGTGGAGCGTCATCCGGTACAAGCACATTTAGTACCCCTATATCACCATATCTAAATTACGACCCGCGTTTCCTGCAACAAGCGCAACCAGAATTTATTTTTCCGGAAGGCGCCAATAAGCAACGTGGACGCTTCGAACTAGCGTTTTCACAGATTGGAAGTTCTGTGATAGTTGGGGCGGGAATCGGTGGGTTGGCTGGATTTTACAATGGTCTTCAAACAACCACCGCATTGAAACAGACCGGAAAATTGAGACGAACACAGTAATATGACTGATTTTGAACTATTGCTATATATGTACATATGTATATAATTTATTTTACGAAACAATTGCTTTTCTTTCATCAACCAGACTGCTCAATCATGTGATGAAACAAGGCTCAGGCACTGCAAACACTCTGGGGACAATAGCCGTGATGTATTCCGCTTTCGGTGTACTGCTGCAAAGTGTACGCGGTGAAGACGATGATATTAACACGGTTATCGCTGGCACAGCTACGGGATTGTTGTACAAATCTACAGGTTAGAGTAATTGCAGATTTTTTTCGAAGCAATTAATGTTATACAACAATTTCTGCTTTCATAATACAGCCGGTCTTAGAAGGTGCGCAATCGGTGGAGGTGTAGGACTTGGTATAACAACGCTTTATTGTCTCTTCCAATTTATGCGGTCGAGTTCCGGCGGGTCTAATTTGAAATTCCTGTAAAGTCACAAGTGTTTCAAAAATTGAAGTGGATGTAGTAAACTGACTGCATTATTTTGTATACATATACGAATGGTAGTTAGCTGCTGGTAGTGACATATGTAACTCCAGATCGTGGAGATGAATGGAGTTGCGTTATTCCTCTATGTAACGCGCTCAAACGTACATAGCAAATCTAAGTTGTAAGTTTCCCTTGTTTTCTAATTTTTATTTTTTTTTAATTGTATTAGTTACTAGAACGTGATGAGTTAAGTTGAACAAAATAATACCGAAGACACTTTGCTTAGTAAGCAAAAATGATAAAATACTGAAAAAATAACACAACTATACTTTAAATTTTTTGTGTAATCCAGGGGAGTATGTTTTTGCGGTGTATGTATGTAAATTAAAAATAGTGGTACAACAAATTGTAGAACTAAACACAATTGAAAAAAAACACACACCGAAATAAAACAAAACGCTTTGCCAATGCTGTGTTTTTTTCTGAAATAATCAATAAATTAATTTTGTTAGACAAAAGGAAGTTAACGAAATTTAAAATAACTTTATAATGTATGCAACAAAATTATGCAATTTCTCATTAATTTAGCAGAGAAATTATACGGGGTATTTAAAACTTTTTTAGTTTTATTTGCTCAATACATATAAATACAATAATTAATATAATACACAATTTTTACAAATATAAATATTTCCTATGAAAGCCCTACATCGCCGCACTCAACTGATAACCTGATAACAGCTGATAAGAATAGGCAAAATCAACAAAATTAAATTTAATAATCCAAGACATCGGAATCTGAACCAGTTAACGCCAACACTTTCACACCGGATCGCTCATCCAGTATATTATTAACAGGCGCCTCGCAACTGGTATCCAGAGAGGAGCAAGTATGGCAATGGCAGCTGCCTGCTTCCATATACTCATAGCGGCGTGCTTCCTAAACGAATGCAATAATTAAGACGCTACTAGCCAATTTAAATTAAAAACAACTCACCTCACTGGCTTCCGGATGACAATTTCTCAACAACGCTACTGCTGGTTGGCGCGTAGCATGTACACAAACCGGATGAAATGAGCGTTTATATGGAAATCTCCAATCGGAAATTTCACTGGAGTCACAACGACCCCAACAAGAACGTACACTCACATAATCCCAACATTCACGACCCTGTGCGTCAGCCTGTGTGATGCGGTATGTGTAGAGACGCTGATGACAGCCCAATGGCGCAGCGGTGGGACTGCTATTGATGGGTTGCGCCTCCAGCACTTGGCTCAAAGCAGATGTTGAGAAGGAAATAAATGCGACAAGTGCAAAAGCGTTGAAATATTGATACTATATGCAAGTAAAAATGAAATAATAACAGCTTGTTTAAATTTCACAGAAAATGTTCGAATATGTAATCGTTTTTACCATTTCAATAACGATTTCTCGCTTAGTATAAGTCTGTACTGCGCACAGCCTGGCGAGTTGCTACCAACAACAGCGTAGTAATCGAAATGACATGCATTTGCCTGTTGCGCGAGTCTTTTATACGTTTTTGTTTTTATTAATTATTCTATGTATGAAATACCAAACCAAGGACAGTAGAGCACACAGCAGTCCTGTTTTGAGTATAAGGATTAACGGAAATTTCAAATGTGTTGTGCGACTTAACATGATTGTTATACACACGCGTACATACATACGTAAATACATACATGCATAAGTTAATGTCTGCTAGAGTACGGATATGTATGTACGTAAGCAGGACTTTTTAATGCGTCTAGCTTGCAAAGAAATCGGAATTCATTGACATAGCGCATTTTTTTTCGAGATGTAATCATTAATTAGGAATATACACTGAAATATATCATCAAAAGTAAGAGGTACATGTAATCTTTTATCCTTAATTGTTTTTACATACTTTACACCAAGATACATCGAGTCGTATGAGAAACTTATTGGCAAATCGGCAGGTCTAACGAATGACCTAGGAGTACAACTCCACAACAAGTTGTAGCTTTAGCTGAAAGCCTGTAACTCATTAAAGCTCGGAAAAGCGCATTGTGGAGTTATATTCTAAGCATTCGCTCAAATTTCCATAACAGATATTTCAATTTGGAGATTCGACAACTAATGAATCCGCGCAAGCAAAAAAACAAGGTAGAAGCATACCAAGACATCCACCTCTGTTTAAATAAGCTGTGATTAACCGTCCAAATTGACCAGGCATGATGGGGGATTGAAATTCTTGATCGCCGATTGGGCTTTGTTGCCGCCTATTATTTAGTTAATAAAGTCCAAGCGACGAGTTGCTGTTGTAGCTGCACTGCCCAGTTCAGCTGGTCTATAAATCGTTGGCGACAAGCTGAACTAACAGTAGGCCCAGGATACGTGCTGTTGCGACTGAGTCGTGCCAGATAAAGAGGTGTTATCTGGGTGAGTTTAAGAGAGCAGCAAGCTAGCAGGCGGTGGTGTTATATCGGATGCCTTCACGAGCCGGTCATATATTGGCTATGCTGTGGTCAAGTTTCGATAAAACGGAGTTTAACCTCTCTCAAATAAGCTGAAGCTCTTCGTCAGCGATAGCTAGTTGAAGGACCAAAACCAGTACAAAAATTCAGTGCACTTCTGACTTTCAATAGCCGCTACAACAACAATTACAGCGACAATAGTAACCTATTGACTGAATACGTGCACGCTTAGATCTTTTGCTTTTGGCGGGGTCTATTTTTACGTTTTTCGTGTTTTCTTTGGCATTTACAGTCGGATCTTAAAATATGATATATATATTGATGCTTTTGTCTTGAGACAATTTCGAAATTTTTTCTTTTGCCGAATGTAGGGGTCGAATTGCAACATTTATTGTAATATCGTCGATATTTACAGTCGGATCTAAAAATATGATATATCAAACCTAATCAAAATAACGAGATTTTTGAAGCTGTTTTTTTTAACTTTTTTATTTTTTTTTTAGAAAAACTTAAGTAACTGGACCAAAACTATACCGATTTAGACTTATGAGGTATCAGTAGAAAGGTATTTTCTCACCTGTTTTATTTCTTTGCAAAAAAACTCATTCATGTCTCAATTTTTGGAATGACGCTCGTTCATTTTACCTTTCTCTTTCATACTTTGAATTAAATTATTTGCAAGGCATTAAAAAAGGGTGACAAAATATATGCCGTTTTTCAAGTAGATTTTAAAATTTATCTGCCCTTCAAAAACATTTTTCAGAACAAAATTTGTGTTTAAGGGCAGATAAATTTTAAAACCTACTTGCAAAGGCGGCCCTAAATCGGTAAAGTTTTGACCGAGTTATTTAAGTTTTTCTTAAACCAATCTTTGAAAAAAGTTCAAAAACAGCATCAAAAATCTCATTATAAGGATTCTGTGGAAAGTGTTTGAAGATATTTTTATGCAAATTTTTTTAAGCTTAAACTGTTTTGCCATCTGAGGTGATTTTTTTCCTAAGAATAATTAAAAAAATTTAATTTTTTAATAAATAAAAAACTAAATTAAAACTAATTAAACTAAATCTTAATATTTTTCCGAAATATTTTGGTGCAATCTTAAAATATAATAGATTTTATAATTCCAATGGAAAAAAGGAACCGATTTTTTTTTTTTTTTGGGAGTGATTCAGTCTAATGTAAATACTATATACATATGTGCATATACAAACATATGTATACCGATAACAATAAAGCCCACCCAGTGGTATAATGGGTCGAATGAATAAAAAAAGCAATTGCTTTTTCTTAAAATTTCAGACCTTTCACTCGATTTATTAAAAAAAAAATGAAGTAAAAGGTATGCAATTTTAAGAAAAAGCATTTGCTTAGTTTTTATTCATACGGCCCATTATCTCGAAAACGAAAAAAAAAAAATTAAATGATATGCCAACTTTTTTGGGCTATAGTTTTTTACGTTACCAAGTTTTATTNTGAAGTAAAAGGTATGCAATTTTAAGAAAAAGCATGTGCTTAGTTTTTATTCATACGGCCCATTATCTCGAAAACGAAAAAATTAAATGATATGCCAACTTTTTTGGGCTATAGTTTTTTACGTTACCAAGTTTTATTAATTTTGATTTTATAAATATCACTAAATAAAATTTAGTACAATTGAAACAAATTTTGTTTACAATACATTCATATGTCGTAAAATTGTGATTGAAGAAGTCTAAAAAAAATCATCCTTTTTGCTCACCGGTATTTGCTACATTAAGTTCGCTCACTTGAATTCAATCGCTACTCATCAACCTTGATTATTCACCCATTTAATACTTTGCGTTATCAGGCCATCACTCTTGCTAGGTGTAAAAATTTTGTCATCAATCCATTGATTTCAATTTGTTCTTCCCTCTTGCTCATTGGTTTAATAAGACACATATATTTGTAATAGATTCTGGTTTCTGGTAAGCCAAAAAAATCCGCTTTGATTTTTTTNCATTGTTATCACTCTTGCTAGGTGTAAAAATTTTGTCATCAATCCATTGATTTCAATTTGTTCTTCCCTCTTGCTCATTGGTTTAATAAGACACATAATAGATAATAGATTCTGGTTTCTGGTAAGCCAAAAAAATCCGCTTTGATTTTTTTATGTATGTATGTATACTATTCCTCATCCGGTACATTCACTTATTCATATTACAAAGAATTTCTCATTTATGTAAATTTTGTTATCACTTCGTAATTGAAGATACCGCTTATGCTTAAAACGTTAAATTTAACTTATTACGGTTAGTAAAAGATACAAACATACAAAGATACTTACATGCATTACTTTATGCCCTTCTTCGTATCTCATGTTGCGAACCGAAACGTTGCGCTCTCAATTGCACGCGGAAACGCCGATTCGGATCGGGATGCTGATCTTCATGACGATCCTCAATTACCGGTGCAAGCGCTGCAGCGGCATCTACCTCATCGTCGGCATCATCATCCTCGTTTGGGCTATCGTAATCGTCCATAGCGGCATCTTGTGTCTCCACTGAGGCATTCGATACGGAGATCGTCTCCGCATCGCGTGCCATGGCGCTTGCTAGCAGCCGCTGACGACGTTCCTCCATCAAGCGATCGCGTTCCTTGTGTATGTAGTCACGTTTATTTGGCAATCCAGCTACATTGTTGGCTGTGAGCGCCGAACGTACTACATTCATATCGGTCGCTTCCATCCTGTGGATGGAAAATCAATTTTTAAATATATATATTTTTTATTGAAAACCCATTTCACCTTACCACTCATCAGTCTCGGCCACATAGCATTCTGTGTGTGAAATGGTTGAGACGCCATTAAAACCGCCGATAGCGAAAATCATATCATCTATTATTTCTAGTCCAAAATTGCTACGAGAGTGATTCATTTCGCGTATAAACGACCACGATTGCGCATCGGGATCGTAACGTTCGCCAGTGGATAGACGCGCAGTACCATTAAAGCCGCCAATCACATAAAGCTGTCCACGAAAGGCCACACAGGATACGCCCGAACGACGATGATTCATATTGGGTATGCGCGTCCAAACGTTGGTGGCCGGATCATAAGATTCGGCGCTATCTAAACATTCCTGCCCATTGAAACCACCTGCAGTGGGGAAACAAAGAGAAACCATTTATTTTCAGGGATCAGCACTAACTAACCGAATAGGATCGTAAGAAACTAAGGCTGGGAAGTTAACATTCGGAAGACAACCAATCACACTACGAGTATATGTATAATAAGATATTTAGTACGCGAATTTTTAGGCCTCTGAAGACACGCGATGGAACTTATTGTTAACCCACTGAGATCTCTTTCTCGAAACTACATCGCGCTTGAAAAGCGAAGGTTTTACAAATTAAACAAAAAGCGCAAGAATCATCTCTAAAGGTGGATTCATCGCTCTAGTTCTGACTGAAAGTGGAAGATGAGTTAACAACTTAAAAGCGTACGCAAGTTTTCTCAATTGCTCTCCCAGAAAGAGAAACGCAACAATAACCACTGCTAAAACGATGAATCCGCCTTAAGTTTTACATTTTTTAATTAATCCCTGTAAGTTTCTTGTCTATTGATGCTTTAAAAAATAAAATTGTTTATTTTCTTTCCTGCCTGTCCTGTCTGCCTTCGTCTTTTCTAAAAGCGTCTGTCACTGTTTTACCTACTCGTATTTCAAATATAATTGCTTCTATGTATTTGTTGTTTCTACTGCCATGGAACAGAATTGGACGAGGAATGATGAACATTTTTGGAACGAATTTACATAGTATTTTATAGTTTTTGGAAACTTTATAACAAGTTTTCGAAAAGAATCTCCGTTAGGAGCAAATCTTCAGCGAATTAATGAAAACAGATTTGAGTCTCTAGTTCTCCTTGATCGTCTGTCCGTTAGCTCAGAGATTGGTTTAATCAACGGATATTGCTCAATGGAAATGCACAAAGGCGTAAACGGTTTCCGTTTAATGTTTTCTATCACATTTGCAGTAGCAGGTGGTAAAGAGCATTGAAAACTTTCTCTGGCACTGTCCTGCCTATACCTAAATACTACAACATAATCTGAAGCATCTCTTAAAGGACTAATGAATCCTTGCTATTTACTCAGAATTTGCATTAATTTCTGGCATCGAATCAAAAAAAGTACTTTCAAAGGACAAGTTAGACTTTTGGAAAAATAAATAAAGTCAAAGGACAAAATCGTGAGAAAAAGGGCTGCCCTTTGAAATAAAGTAGCATGGTCACCGTACTAATGAGCAGAAGACTTTTCCATCCTATAAAAAAAAGCCTCCACAAGTCACTCCTGCGCTGGTATATGGCACAGAAGCATGGACAATGGCACCGTCCAATGAGGCGACCGTTGGAATATTTGGTAGGAAGATTTTGTGGAATACTTGCTGATCTTTACGCATTGGACACAGCAACAACTGGATCTATGAGCTGTATGAACCTATCAACGAAATTTAAAATGTGGGTGGGTGCGTGGGCGGCTACAGCGTCAAACGGCGCTAATCTCACCACGCGTACTGCGATAATGGAGACAGTTTTACAAAAAAGAAGTACATGTCGGATCTTCTAGGCGAACGATGTTTTTATTGGTCGGGTTTATGTGGCGGATTCTAAGCTAGGTCCACAATCTATTAGTGGGTGAGTTCTAAATAAGTTAATAGGAACACATTTTTTCGAAACAAGCATTATATGTAAATAAGAACCAAATCGGAACATAAATTAGGTTATTCCTTTTTATGTGATTAATACAGATATATCCAAATATAAACTCAATCCGACCATGGATGCATGTTTTAAAAATATATCGACACCCGCGCCACCTACCGGCTAAATTTCTAGTGGAGATATTTCCTTCACATAGGCAATTTGTATATGCACATTAGGGTAGTAAAAAAAAAAAAGTGAAGCCGTAATTTTAATGCTCTCACCCCTAGGATTGTTCTATATTATTTTGAAATCAAAAAAATATTTAAAGGTCACTCAAAGCGCTCAAAGTTTTCCATGTATTTTATATGGAAAAAAGTCTTCGTTAAACTTCGTTTCTCTTCAGGGGATTTCCAGTAACAATACCCATAGGTTGATTTAACCATTTTCAATTGTTAACTATTTTTTATAGGACCCCTAATGACCTCAAATGGGTTCCCCATTGCATTTTTTGTGGTTTTTGGGGGTCCTATAAGAAAAAGTGTATATAGAAAATGGTTAAATAAACAATTGAGTTATTGGAAAATTTCTGAAGAGAATTGGAATTTCGCGATCGAAAGAAAATGATTTTCAAGAATTTTATTAATTTTTTTTTTGTTTATATACTTTGAGCGACTTCTAAATATCTTTTTATTTCAAAATTAAAAAAAAAACAGGGGTAAAGTTTTTTTCGATATAGTCTTCTATCCTAGGGGTGAGAGCATTAAAATGCCACCTTTAGTTTTTCACATGGATTTATGGGCCACCCTATTGTACATACATATATACATACATAAAATATCAATTGGACTATAAACACCGGGTTTTTTCATATATCTCAACTCCTGTGCCACCCAATGGATTATTCATCTTTGATATTGCATCTCGTCGTGTTCTAAGTTCCCGTCTCTAGCTCATCGGGAAATTGGTTAAAATTAATGGATTGACCAATACATATTTACATACATATTATGTACATATAAAGCAAGTTAAATAAAAGCTTGTTAAAGTGAAATTCGCGGCGTTTACTCAAATCTATTAAAAAACTTTAAAACTTATTGGCCTTAGTGCCGTCTCTACAGTGGGGGGTTAACTAAAATTCGGCAGTTAACAAATAATAAATTCATAAGCGTTTAAAGTACAGACAAAGAAGTATTTTCAGTTTAAATAAATTCAAGAATAATTGAGGCGTAAGCAAATAAGAGTAAGTGAAAAAATGTACATATTTCCTAAGAAATCTTGAAACGAAAGTGAATGCTACTTTTACTTCTTTTTCACAATTGCGTCGCAGCTATCAGCTTAACGGCTAAAAATAAACATGCAAATTTAATCCTAAAATAAACCATTAACTATAAATAAAAATGCAAAAAAAAATAAAAAATTAAAATCCGTAAAAGCATGAACACTCGAATGCGACGCTGCAGCGATGTCACCCTCTTCACCATCTTCCCCCTCCCTTACCGCTTTCCACTTACCCGTTGTATAAATTTTCCCCCTCAACGTGCATGCGCTTGCGTCAGATCTTTGCATATTCATCGATGTTATAACGGTCCACTGATTTGTCTTCGGATTATAACGCTCGACCGTATTTAAGCGATTATGACCATCGTAACCGCCAATTGCGTAGATAAGACCGTTAAGTTCAGCCACGCTAACATAGCAGCGACGACAATGCATTGGCGCAATCTAACAAAACCAAGAAGAAGCAAAAAATAAAACTGAGACACAAAAAAGATTGGGCGGTGCGGAGAAAACATAAAAATCCGCATATTAATTACACACTACATTTACTCTAGATTTGTATTTTTACTCATACCTCCTTCCAGTTCTTTCGCACCGCATCAAATACCCGACATGTATTAAAGTATTCCACGCCATCATACCCACCAATCGAATAGATTTTATAACCAATGACGGCGGTGCCATGATAGGCACGCGGTCCAGCTGGATCCTCGGCTGGTATATTCACCCAACGATCGGCGCGTGTGTCATAGGTCTCAATGCAGCCCTTCGAAGTGCCACCGCTCCAGCCGCCTATGGCAAAGATGACCTCATGTGGCAGGCGTGGCATTGCTAATGGTGGTGTTGTGAGCTTTTTAGAAAATGGCATACGAAATGGCACATATAAATTTGAGCTGAGCGGGAAAAGAGAGTAGAGCATAGCATTTGTTTTTTTCGTAAATACCTCGCCCGATGATGGATTCATTATATCCAAATCATACATAAATTTAAATGTCTCAACAATCAATGGTTTGGCGTCGTCACACTGCAACACATACGGATGCTCTTTCACCTCTTCCATGAAGCACTGAAAAGGTGCAGTGAATGATTTTTATTATTTTACTATACGATAAGTGTGTAATCTGCAGGAAAGTGTACTAAATAATTTTTCAATTTCAACTATAACTCAGTTTGGTAGGGCCAAAAATCATTTCGAAGCATAGAATTTTTGTGTTTTGAATCCATTGACCTTATGATTTGAGTACGACCATCGACGAAGTAAATTAGGTAGAGTCTAAAGATCTATACGATTTGTTGGACATCGAGTGGGCTATCTCCAGTGCATTGTTTCAAAGGGAACTGGATCACATTTCGCACCTGTACTTGTATAAGAGCCATTCGAGGGTGTACAGAGAGAAGCGCCCTTCCGCCCATATCAACATATGAAATTGCTGTTGATAGAGAGAGAGAAGCAACGACAACGTCACCGTCATGCGGTGGAGGATTTTCGTTAACACGAGAATCCCAGAAGTTGTGAACATATGCTGAAGAGAGTTGCACTCAAACTCTCCCAAAGCAATTCTTCTGTACTACTGGCAATTTGCGTTTTACGACCCTACAACTATGTAGTAATTATAGGCCTTCTGCCGTGAATGCCAATAGCAGAGTTAACGTGCCTCGCCTGAAGACATCCAGTCACCCTCTCTGGCGAAATTATTGTCTGCCTTAAATTCTGGGATATTTCGATGACAACGAACCCAAAATTGTTCTACCGAGAGGTGGGAGCAAACCCTGATTAATATGGTTTGGTAAAACCTCTTTGATTTGATTGTAAAAGAAGCCAATGAAATGGCTTGTAAGATAGTGTGAAAAGACTACTCCGCGTTTATTTGGAACCTGCGGTGTAAGGGTGGAAGTCCCAGGTAGATATGTATATCCGACTTTGTATTTCGCTTTCTGAATTTTAATTTTCGAATAAAATTTTTATGTGTACCGGGTGTCCTGGACCACCCTTTCGCTCCTTTAAAAATGGAGGAATATGTTTTTTTATCCAGCCTGTTAAACACACTCAGAGCCGAAACCGGAAGACGGTAATACGCCCAAAAGATACGAGAATCCTTGACTAAGTAGTTCATATTTTTGCGTTATCCAATAATAATAATAAAAAAAAAACATTTTCCTTCATTTTAGAAAGGCATGACGGGTGCTCTAGGACATCCGTTATATGTACATATTATGTCGATTCCAAGATAGATAAAATTACGGGGACAATTGCATATTAACTTGCCACTTTAATGAACCGTACTGAAGTCAAGAGGTTAACTATTTACAAACTTCTTGAGTAGTGTTTTAACACCCTTCAGTTTATGGGAATAGATTCCCAATCACTTTTTTTTTTAGCAAAATTCGTCAACGAACCTGAGAAGGATCGGAAAGCGTATTTACCGGATCGGAACCACTTTATGAATACTTTGGCATTTTAGCATACAATTTCAGAGGTTAGAGGTGAACTCAGAACGCACTAACTACCATGGATCAGGCGGTTGTTTACTTGATAGAAAGCAAATAAATCCGTTTGCTGATGCCAATATTAAGTTTCTCACTCCGGATAGGTCCTTTTGTACTGAAACAGGTGAAAGCTCCCTTAGAACAGTTTCCCTTCAACTGATCTTTTATTCCATATGTATGTATCTGTAAGCACCTAAAGCCTACAACTCCATGTCATTTTTAGGCAGCATTACGAAGACTAGTTGTGTGATTTATGATAATCTATATATTAATGGGCTAACATAAATGTTTGGAGTGCAATGGGGTATAGTCATTGCGCTGGGTATGCAGTTACAGTTGCATGGCTATACTCAATCCCGAGTCTTGCGTCCTCGTTCGCGCACTCTGGGCAACGTGAGCAACCCATGTGCGAGATGCGGTAACCAATGCGAGTGGAGCCTTGGGTCACGGCAGAAAGAGAGGGAGCTTCGGTGGGGCCACTCTGACTTATTCGGTTTAAGGGCTCACTGAAGTCTGCAGCGTCTGTTCACCAGTAGGTGCGGCTGCAAGCGGGTGTCTGCTTGGAGCAAGCGGCTCGC